ACAGCCCCGCCCAGCCCTGCCGGTGACCCTCACTGGTGACCCGACCCGCAGCTCCCCCCCCCCACGCCCTGCCGGTGCCCCTCACGCCCGACCCACAGCTCCCCCCCCCCACGCTCTGCCAGCCCCTGCCCTCACCTCCAGCAGGTGGCGGAAGGTGTCGACGGGGGGCGCCCGGGCGGCCTGCAGCAGCCTCCAGAGGCTCTGCCCCTCGTCCAGCGTCACCTCCAGCAGGTCGCCCTCCAGGAGCAGCTCCTCCAGCGCCCGCCGCGGCCCCTCAGGCAGCTCCAGCACTGGGCCCTGCAGCCGCGCCAGCGCCGTGCCCAGCGCCTCCAGGTCTGCGGGGGGAACGGGGCGGTGAGGGGGGATGGGCCCAGCCTGCAATCCCCACTGCAGCCTCGGTGCCAGCCAACGCCCCATCCCTCCCTCTGCCCTGTCCCACACCGCACCCTCGGTGCCAGCCCCCGCCCCCCTCAGTAAATCCCTTCCTTTGTCCCCCTCCGTGCCCCACACCGCACCCTCGGTGCCAGCCCCTGCCCCCCACCTTCCACAGCACCCTTGGTGCCAGCCCCTGCCCCCCACCACTGCTCCTTCAGTGCCAGCTGCTACCCCCCCACACTAAATCGTTCCCTCTGTCCGGCACATTCGGTGCCAGCCCCTGCCCCCCCCCCGGCGCAAAGAAAACGTGGGGCACGTTACCAGAGGTGAAGGGGCACATCTTCTCCGGTGGCGTGGTGTCCCCGTTCTCAAGGGAGAGCTGCAGGGAAGGGGGGGGGAGAAGGGGCAGAGCGGTGAGACAGGCACATGCCCCCCCCACCCCCACCCCAGGGACCCAAATCTAGGGGGTCTGGTGCCTGGGGATCCCTCGCTGAGATCGGCCAACTCTGGGGTGGAGCAAAGGCCGATTCTAATGGGGACCCACCTCCACCCAGTGCCGGGCACCAACTGCCTGGGGCGAGCGCCCCCCTCACCTTGGGCTGCTCGTTCCGGCTGGTCTCCCGCAGGGCGCCGGCGTCCCCGTGCAGCCGCTGGCGCAAGGCCGCCAGGCGCTCCAGGGGCCCGGCCAGCTCGGGCGAGGCCAGCAGCTGGCGGGCGCGGTCCTGCCAGGTGATGGCGCGCTCCGTCAGGCACTGCAGGGCCTCGCCCTCGGGCAGCCGCACGGGCAGCTTCTGCAAGGCCACCAGCAGGGCCAGGATGGTCTCGAGGCGCGGGCGGCGGGAGCGCTGGCACAGTGGGCACAGGAACTTGGCATCCCACTCCCACCAGGCGGGCGAGGGCTTCTGGGCGCCCAGGCGGGGCCAGGCCACGCAGGGAGCGTGGAACCAGTCGCGGCAGAGCTCGCAGCGCAGCATGCCGGGCCCGGGCGGCTGGCCGCACACGCAGGAGGGGGGGCCAGGCGCCGGCGGGCCGGGCTTCAGCGCGTTGGCACGGCGCAGCCGCAGGATGCCCTCCTTCTCCTTCTGCTCGCCCTCCTTGAACGCCACAATCTGCCGGGACCAGGGGGGCGCTCAGTGTGGGCGGGGGAGCAGCCTGCCCGCTGCCAGCCCCCCCATGGCAGCAGGGCCAGCCCTCCTGCCAGCCTCCACTTTCCTTCCTTGCCCGCTGCCGGCCCCCCATGCCAGCAGGGTCAGCCTCCCCTTTTCTTCCCTGACCGCTGCCGCCCCCCTATGCCAGAGGGGCCAGCCCCTCTGCCAGCCTGTCTCACCTTTCCTTCCCTGCCCCCCAACCTTTCCCATGCCCCCCAGCTACCCACCAACCCCCCAACCTCCCCTCCTTTCCCCCCCGCCCCCTCCCACTCCCCTGCCAGCTCACCCCAATGTCTCTCCTGGTGCCCCTAGAGGGGACAGGCCCCGTGCCCCATTCCCTGCCCCCCGGAGGGGCCAGGCCCCACAGCTGCCCACTCACCACAGAGCCAGGGTCCCGCAGGTCCTGAGCCGATAGCCCCAGGCTCTCGGTGTCCGACTTGTAGAGGCCGAGCTCCGGCTCCCGCCGCCACTTGGTGCGCTTGGGGCTGGCCGCGCCGGCATCCGCGCAGGGGCACAGTACCTGGGGGGCAGGGGGGATGGGCTCTGCCTTCCGTGCCCCCCCTCCCCATAGGGCCCACAGCCCCCCCTGCCCATTGCCCCTCCCAAGGACCTACGACCCTCCTCACAGCCACCACATGGGGCTCACAGCCCCAACACTGCCCTCTGCCCCATGGGACCTACAGCCCCCCTGCCCGCTGCCCCCTGGGACCCACAGCCCCCCTGCCCGCTGCCCCATGGGACATACAGCCCCACCCAGAGCTCCAGACC